AAGTTCAGTGGTCTAAGATTGCAAAGAAATTGAGAAGATGCAAGAACACCACTGTTTACGACACCCAGCCATATCATTCAGTGTCTCTAATCATCGGGTACGATCATCCCGAGCTCCCCAGCCAGGGAGCCTAACGGGACCCATGTGGCCCAGACTCGTGGTCAGGGTTTCCTTCCCTCGTGTCAGGTCTTAGTTTGGCCACTCTTGATTTTCTTGCACCCACTACTTGCCTTGGCGAACATCGCTCGCCGTGGCAACCTATCTGGTGACATACGTAACACATGCCCCAACCAACGAAATCCATGGAGGTCGACCACTTGCTCCAGTGGGCGACCGCGGATACCCAAAACACTTTGCGTATCCCCAGCATTGTTCGTCCGGCTGCCCCACCAGATTCGTGCAATTGAGTATGTCGAAAGTGCTTTCGACAGACTTTCAAGTTCTGTAGCTCTGTTTGGCATGCGCTTTACACCCTCAAAGTGCGAAGTGATGCTGCAAGTCGATGTCGTCTGTCCCGGTGCGGATGCTTGATGGTCAAGAATTAGATGTAGTGAAGTGTTCCACCTACCTAGGTAGCTGCGTTTCAAATGACGATAGTGTAGTTAACGAAGTAACCGCCCGCATTTCCAAGGCTCGAGCAGCTTACGCAGAGGTGAAACGCCTTTGATTCCCTCGCAATGTTTCGTTGAACCTTAAAGGTTGCGTATACTGCACCAGCGTGAGATCAGTTCTGCTTTATATATTATATTTGCACGTGGATTATATTTGTCGTTTGAAAAGTATTCGGCTTGCGATGTTTGCGTAGTGTAGTGTTGGTCGGATCGAGGGGATGTTTAAGCAACGCTGAGATAAGTCGTCGCGTATTTGGTAATGATTCGGTGGAGAATTCGTTCTCATCGAATTCAGATTAGTCGGCTTCACTGGTTGGGAGCTGGATTTGAATATCTCCTTGTGATAATCGATGTGGGGTCCTGTATGCTTCTTTTTAAAACAGTATACGTCTAAATGAACCGTTTGAAGGGTTTTAGACAGAGTGAGTCTCCGGCCGAGGTGAGACAATACACTGGCATTGAATCATCTAATCTTATTCAATGTCTCAGCGTCAGGTGTAAAACACTTAAAACCTTCAGTATAAACGTGTGCTGTCTCCAAAACACATTCCAAAACCAGCATAAAATATCACTACGTTCTTCGAACCAACTCTCGTTCTCACACTTCACTCTCAGTCAGTTCACGTCTGACGGTAGCGATGGTGCTAGCCTCACGGTTTGCTTCAACTAATCGCGACTGTATCATCAGTCGTCGGGAAAGACTTGATCTACGGCTCCGGTCCTATGAGACAACTGGGTAACGACCTTAGGGAGAACTTATCCTCTAACACGAGATAGTCATCTAGCAGTAAAAATGAGTTCGGTTGTGAGAGCTAGTGAAATAAATCTTAGAACTGTGTGTGCACCGAACTGGGGCCGAACAGCTCATTTTATAGGACTCCAACGGTAAAGTCCTGGTTTAGACCTCTAATACTAGAGTTTGTAGCGCCGGCAACTACAAAACTTCTTGGACAGTATCGCAATTAAGCGCATCTTTTTCAAATAGTCAAATTGCATTCCATTACCTTATTTCAATAGCACTTTCCAAATTTTTCAAAAATCTTTTCATGTTTCATTCAGGTTATCTACTGAAGATTGTGTTGTAGTTATGAGTGAACAACCTAGTGCCAGTGGGTCACAACCTGCCAGTTCCGAGACCAGTCAACGTCAAACCACGAAGCTCAGTCCGTTTGAAACATCGATTTTGGAATATGTACTTGCTGTCCATGGCGATGTGGGCACACGAAGAGCCTGTTTAATTGCCCTACTGGTACATGCCCAACTTTTGTCACGCGGTGCTCGCTTATCATCTTCAAACCGAGGCTCATCCTCGCTCATTGTATCATCAGCTCTGGACGGTGATCCCATTCGCTTGTCATATACCCTGGTCCCACGACCACAGTCGGAAACGCTCGCTTCCGCCGCAAGTCAGGTTAGTGTGCCTTTTGGTCAAGGTTCTTAGTGGCTGAATGTAAGTTTGCACTTTGTATAATAAACCTAGTGCTGAACGTTATATAGCTGTTAAAGCCATTCGGTTCATTGGGATACTTGAACGATTTTGAATCATAGGTGGTGGTGGCGCAGTGGTTTAATCGCTGTCACCAGCGTGCTTTAGACATGATACGAGGTTCGAGATCCCCCACCGCCACCGGATTTTGGTGGTAGGCAGTTCTGCTGTCGTCCGGTTCAATACCACGCCTAATCTATCGGGGCCTTATGTGGTTCGCCACTCCAAGTTCCGGGGCTTAGGTTACCGGTTTCCATCACTGAACAGCAGGTCCTCATGACTATGGGGTTTACCCCGTCTGCTGTTCATCACACCTAGGTGTATGATAAAAAAAGGCTACTGCTCAGATATCGCAATGTTTATGTAACTCTTTATCTTCCGTACCCAACCATATCCCTTCAACACTTCTTCCGACCAGTAACAAGTTCAGTGGTCTAAGATTGCAAAGAAATTGAGAAGATGCAAGAACACCACTGTTTACGACACCCAGCCATATCATTCAGTGTCTCTAATCATCGGGTACGATCATCCCGAGCTCCCCAGCCAGGGAGCCTAACGGGACCCATGTGGCCCAGACTCGTGGTCAGGGTTTCCTTCCCTCGTGTCAGGTCTTAGTTTGGCCACTCTTGATTTTCTTGCACCCACTACTTGCCTTGGCGAACATCGCTCGCCGTGGCAACCTATCTGGTGACATACGTAACACATGCCCCAACCAACGAAATCCATGGAGGTCGACCACTTGCTCCAGTGGGCGACCGCGGATACCCAAAACACTTTGCGTATCCCCAGCATTGTTCGTCCGGCTGCCCCACCAGATTCGTGCAATTGAGTATGTCGAAAGTGCTTTCGACAGACTTTCAAGTTCTGTAGCTCTGTTTGGCATGCGCTTTACACCCTCAAAGTGCGAAGCGATACTGCAAGACTGAGTGTCACCGAGTTCCATTCTAAAAATAGACGGTCTGGAATTAGCTGAAATCGACTGCTTGTCCTACTTGAGTAGCTGCTTGACCATCAACGGTATTTCCAGGGTTTGAGTAGCGTGCTTGGAACTTCAAAAGTTGTGGCGACGACGTGACGTTTCGCTGAAGTTGAAATGTCGTAGCCACCGCGCCAGTATACGATCAGTTCTGCTTTACGATTGTGAGACCTTACTTTGAGAGTAGAAGATATCCGTTGCTTGGTAGTTTTGGACATTCAATGCTTGCTTAGTGTGGGTTGAATGGAAGGAACGTTTAAGCACCTCTGAGTTAAGTCGTCTAGTACTTGATAATGATTCGATGGAGAATTCGTTGTCTCATCGAATTCAGATTAGTCGGCTTTTCTGGTTAGGACACGTATTGCGCAAACCCAGCCATCGTCTACTGTACCGTGCCCTATTCGCAGTGTCGGCTCCAGGTTGGAGGAAACCACGTGGGGTCAACGTGGAAACGAGTCTTGAAGATATGCACAGAATAATTAGGTAGAATCGGTGTCTCCCGTCTTCCAAGTTGGGGTCCAAAAGACTCGGCAACTGGTTGTTTGGAGACATGGAAGGATATAGCAACTAACCGACAGCAGCGGCGTTCTTGTTGTCATTTCTCGTCAGGTCAGAATGCTTAAAAACGCATGTATGCACACTTAGGTTGTGTACTCTGTTGTCCATAGAGGTTCACTTTCTTTGCCTCCCTCCAATTAGGCTCAATACTTCTCCATCTTGCGTTTTATCACTTGATTTGTGTACATTGTAAGCTTGGTAGCGATCAGTGAAGTTCGCTTCGCTGTATCTCACGAACGAAGATGATGATTATGGTCAGCCCCTAAAGAGTCACTTTCTCCCCGCTCTCAGAAAATAGGCCCATACCCAAGCATCCCCCTTTGTCCGTTATACCAACCTGTAACATTCCACCAGACCATTCGTTTCTTATTCGCTAAAGCTCGTTGCCAAATAGTGCTCTAATTTGTTTATCACCTGGTGAATGGCAGATTCTGAAACCTCATGGTGGTGTAGACAAATAATGGAGTAAGATAAAACGAACAATGCACTTTGCAGCAGATGTTGCCGCGTCTGAGGAATTCGATATCGAATGAGTTCGTTGCTCTGATTGTGAAACAAGTGACTTACCCGGACCAACCAGGATCAAAACAGAGAAGCAAATGGCGTCTTCAATGTCAGCTCAAGAAGAGCGCGTAAGCACTGGTAAACCATAATAGCTAGGTGTAATGAAAGTAGCCGCCATATTAGGATATAGTAAGACACTGATCCAACTGATACGCAACCGGTGGTCGACGAGCAACGCTTAGCGAGGCGATAAAAGTGAGCAAACTATTCACAACGAAGAACATCGAGTCATCGTCATCATCGTACAGCGAGATACAGTGAAGCGAGCTTCACTGATCGCTGCCAAGAATACCGAGTGAGCAATTCTACGAGCAGTTCATCTGGCCTGAAGCTAACCAGATTATCTCGTCTGTTGAAGCCGAGGCTTCGTGGAAGTGTCATGTGAATCTCACACAGAGCCTTACAATCCGAGGTTCGATCCCCGCTACCGCCACCAAACTTTAATGGTAGACAGCTTTGTTGTCGTCTGGTTCAATACCACGCCTGACCCAGAAGGCACTATGTGGTTCGCCACTCCAAGTCCCAGGGCTTAGGTTACCGGTTTGCATCACTGAACAGCAGGTCTTCGTGACTATAGGGTTCATCTCGTCTGCTGTTCATTACACAGGTGTGTGTAATAAAAGATCACCGCAAAACCAGTTTTTTTTAGTTCTGTTTGAAATAATAAACATTCAGAAAGGGTGACGTGGTTAGTCCACCTTCTAGTGGTTTCCATTGCCACATACACTGTTATCACTAGCTCATTAACATTCACCATCACGTACCCTAAAGTGTCAGCTTCTTGTAACTTTGTTTGGTACATTTTCGTTGAATGGAACGCGCCTGGTCAAGATGCAGCATGTAGGAATGAATAAACTGGTTAGTCAGAGCCCTTTTCGATCCTAACGTTAATTCTAGTCACAACGATTGGAAACACCAAGATACCTATTCGTCCAATCCATTCATCTCTTGTTTCCGAACTAGAAACCTAAAACCGTACCGTTTCCCCTCGCCTGTGTTCGCAGCTCCAACTGTCCGTGACAGAAACAGACGCGCATCTGTTTATTAGTCTCACAGATACCGTAACAGACAAATTTGGTCACTTGGAAATCTCCGGAGTGGAACATGTCTCATTAGACGATAGTAGCGTTCAGTGTGCATCTGGAAATCTGGTACACTTGTTTCCACATTTGGAAGAATTTTTACACCTCATGGATGAAAACGTTTGGAAGCCCGTTCTGCCATCGCCACCACGTCCACGCATTTCAGAGAGTGAGCGACGTAAAGACGTAAAGAGCCCGGGTCTGGATGAGTTTACACCGGTAAGTATTGGTTCATGTTTTCCACTCCTATATATGAAAACTATGACTTGTGCGGTACAGTAGCCCTTTCCGGCTGAATGTGCTTTTAGGGTTCAAGGGAAATATCTGAGTTTTGTTATACGGTAGACCCATAAGCCGACAATTGATGCCTCATATTGTTTCTGCAAGTGCATAACGTGACTGGCAAAAACGAACTGTACGGTCTAGCCTCACTCGTTTATTTATTTCACCATTTTTTGTGCTTATTGAGTCATTCAGATATTCCCCGTTGTAAACCATCTCACAAAGGACACTTGTCGCGTTCTCTTCCTAGTAGTATCGGACTCACCTAGACTTTATAGCCATGCATTCAACGTGCTCCTAGAGTAGTCAAATATACGCTGACATTAGATGTGAAAACAGTTCTGACGAAAACCGACGAAATATGCGCTTAAACAAACAGATGTGCTAGCAAAATGCAGACAGAGCCCTCGCACAGTTGGTCGAACAACTTAAATCTTCATGGATGATCACAGTTATTTGCTTCATGTGTCCGTTTTTCCTTTTGGAATGCATACGGTTAGCTTGCACAATTCGAGTGAAGTCAGTAGTAGCTTTATACACCGGCATGGTAAATTTTCGGCATTTTACGTCATATTTGTGGATACAAATTTACAAAGTCATGCGAAATTAAACCAAAACTTCTGGATATCGGCTTTGTCAATGAAGCAAGCAATTACGTAATTATGAGGAAACTTTCTTCTTGCCAACAAGTGCACGTGCGAGTTGTGGCTAACCAGAATAACTATAAGAAGAGGTACGTACGTGCTGTACGTACTTTTGCTGGAACTACTTCCTCTGACTTTACTGAGGCAAATCCTAAATCGAAAATCGATGATTTGCATTGTGCAACGTGGAAGGCATCTCGATACTCAATCGGCGATAGTTTTAGTTGTCTTTACCCACTCTCTCTATATCTGTCGGATCCTGACCTCGGCGTTTTTCTTCTATGGCCACCGGTGGTTTTTGCACTAGCGGATCATCAGAGGAAGTGTCGTCGATTTGAAGTTGAGGCTTCGAGATCTGTATGTCGTTCGCGAAAAAAACAATNCCGGTACACAACATAATACTTCTATCAGCAGCGTATTTATTCCTAAATGTTCATCTTGAGCGATTGAGATATTTTGCGTGGCATTTCAGTCATCTAGAGCGCTGCAGACGATATCTAGGATTTTATCAGATGCAGTTACCATCAAACATGGAGTGTACGAGATTTAGACATGACAGAATGTTTTGCTTTTTCGTACTTCTCATCTCTCTTGTTGTTTTGGTTTTCAGCCAACCCATCCATCGAACTTGGGAGGAACTCGCCCCACAATACCGGACTACCCATTCCCCGATTATGGGCGCAGTGACCTGGACCCGATTGGCGGTCTTGCAGGTCGTGGTGGAATGATCTTAGATCCGAGAAGACCGTTCCTTGGTGGCGGAGCATTTGGCGGTGGTGGCAGTTTCCTGGGTGGTCCGGACGTCCTACCCCCAGGAGCCGTACCGCCGGGAGCTCGTTTCGATCCGTTTGGACCCGGAGTGGTCCCCGGAAGACAGCCTTTTGGTGGACGTCTGCCTCGAGGTCCAGATCCAGATCATGCTCTACCTCCAGGATTTGAAGACATGTACAACTGAAGCACATTGCTCATTTTCAACCCCAAACTTTCCGATTCATTTCTTCTGATTTGTTCCTCGTGATTGGTTCATCTTTTACGTTTGCCTTTCCTATGATTTGCATTTACATCCATTCAGTACAATTTTCGGAAGATCTTGTGCTTTTAATTTACACATAGTGTCCGATTCCATTGCTTCAGTTGGTTTTAGGACCGCATCCCACAAAACGTCTTCAGACAATGCGTATATATGGCAGCTAGAAGCTAAGTGGACTGGGCGAGGCGAACCGGATGTTTAAGTTTAATCAACGAGGTCTCGTTTGGGTTAAAATGAAAAACATTTCACCGGATCGCAATTGATGGCTGGATAGTTACTTTATCTACTATTCACTCACATGAACTAGGGACTGGTGATCAACTCCCGCTCTTTTATAAGATAAACTACCACGCCGTTCGAGTAGTTCTACCGGCGGAAAGACAGAAATTCCACATAGAATGGACGTTTTGTGTTGATGGTACGATACTTTGGGTACAGTAAACGGCGATCCGCTAAGGTTATTGTGAAAAGCGCGCGCTCTGAAAACTGCATCGGTCGTCTGGGAGAAGATAAGGGCAAACAGAACAAGCCACCGGGAGTCTTATAACTGTGGCTTATGGTTTATTGAGGAGGATTCCTGCGGTTTTGGTCACTTCGGCGGTAGAAATGGAATTGCCTGAGGCTTTTATCAGTTTTACTGCACCAACCTATTTACGGTGGGATATACAAACAAAAATTTGATGTCTGTATGTGCTGTATGCAAATCAAAGAGAAATTTGTATGATTTCAGTCTTTCATACGGGCGAACGGTGTACGCATTTCACTAACTTCACGCTGGTTATACGACCTTTTTATGCCGAGCTTGACCCGTGGCCAAAAGAACAGCCCAAGACGTTTCGCTGTGCAGCCATCGCGTTATTTAGCTATTGATTTCAATAGTCGAGTCATCCTTGTGTTTCATTACGAGCGCGCTTTTTAAAACAAATTCGTTGATCTAACGGGTCGCTCGAGGCAGTGGTAAACATATAATTTGAGGAATACCTGAGTGAATGCGGAAATTACTAAGACCAAGCAAAATAAAAATGAACTCTATTTGGAGTGGTAATTGCAAACCTAAGGACTAGTGGACAAGTGGCATTCGAGTCGTTCAAATTATGTACAAGAGAAGCGAAAGTGTCAGTGTGAAAAATTGGCTAGTCCTCCTGGATCGCACTAGTTAGATCTGATAGTGGTTCCCGGTGAAGTTTGTGTCGTACAACCGCTCTGGCTTGTTCCCGAAAAAGATCCTCGAATGTGAGACCAAGCACACGACATACGGCCAAATTCAACCAGCCGTAAGCAAGACCGGGAAGAGCGCCGACAGCTGCCGCGACGAGCATTTGGCGCCGGCCCCGATTGATGCAGAACAGGAAAAGAGAGGAGCCTGTGAAGTTGGTTGGATTGACACAAAACGCAAACCTGTTAGAAACAGCCTGACGGTGGAATTCATGTCAGATGAGTGAAGCTCACAGTAAAGTAAAAGAACTGGTCAAGTCAAGTAGCATGGAGGCACAAGATTTTCATGCATTCACGGATGTTTCAATAATACTACCAGCAGCAATGCAACATCAAAGGCGGTATAGCTTTTGAGGATCTAAAAATTTCTGATTTAAATTGCTTACGTTATAGTGATAGATATCAAAGTGGTGAACTTCATAATCACGAAAGTTACTGAGTTGTGGTAAGTGGCAAACTAAATGACGATATTCGGAACCTCATCGTGCTTTCAAAGACATCGTCATACTAATGAACACAGAAAAGCGAATTTATCTGTTGAAGAAAAACTGACACACTCAACGTGTCTATCTCTCTTTTTCTCTGACACAGCGATGAAGTAACGTATTTGTCTTAGTGGAAACCACGGCTTCACTGATGTAAACGAATGAAGACTGACTGAAGGACTTAAAGTGCATGCACAATAGTGAATTGCTGAACTTGGGAAATATTAGTGCCTCAAAACACCAAATATTAAAGCGACAGGATAAAGGCAGTAGACAAAATATCATTGAAAAATCATATTATGCTCAACAATATCACAATTCATAATTAACAATGGACAATGCATGGCCATCTCTGATGTCTGAACGAATTACGTTCTCCTGGAGAGAGATGCATGAAACATCTACTGGTGAGAGTTCTCCTTTCCCAAATCAACCGTCTGACGAATACGCTGCACCGTGGGGAATGGATGTGAATGGTTTACAGGGGCGAATCATCAACTTCGGTTCCACGCGAAGCATATCCTCAACGTTGGCATTTACCTCCTCACCGGTGTTTAATCGGCTTGATTGCCCCACTGTTTTACTGAGAGTAACACACAATGAGCATTGTAGTGCGTAATCCAATCCTGGTGTATTATTCTTTTGTATGGCGATTAATTATTCTTTTATCACAAGGAAATCTGGCTTAATGGATCCTGAACCTGAACCACTCAATAATTGTGATATCGTGTAAGGTTCGGTTGTTAGCTCGACGGTCTCTCAAGTGCTCTTTTGAGAGACTACTGCGAGATATCGAACTTCAAGGGATGAATTTTGGGGTTCCGCGCCTCTGGGGCTACACTTCGCAATGGAAGCACTTGCCTGTTGGGATAAGCTTTCACTGGTAGCTTAGATGATTGACCAATGCAACTGACGGGTTGAAAGCAGGTGATCGGATGCTAGTTCGTCCCAAAGGTCATGAAAATTTGATTCGCTTCTAGGACCCAATCGTCATGCGGAAAAATATGTTGGTCTACTTTATAATGCTTAATGGGACATAAATATTTGTTGGCTAGGGTTGCACAATCAAGTTGCTTACAATTTTGAAAACTGTTCTTGCTTCTCGATCGATCAGTCTAGTGTCCGCATTTTATCGGATGGTTTATCATTCCACTTGATTGTCTGGTCTATGGTAATATACAGACTGCAAAACGAGTCACAATCTTTCCAGATCAGTGGGTCTTAGGTGAACTGACAGTGGTTAGCTGATCCGATTAGAGTCTTCGCCTTTCGTTTTGTGACTGGTGTGAAAACACCTCAGCCAGGTGAGCTCAAGGGGCTAGGCTTCCTTATTAGAGAATATTCGAGACGCTTGGTCATATAGGAGGTGCGAGGAAAAGCAGACCAGTTTTGTAACTCAAGATACCCACCCTCGACCATACAGAGGCTATAGATAGTCCGGAACATCCAGAAACAACCGTGGACTAAATTTTGTCACCTAACTTGGGCGGAGAACTGATTCAGTTAGCGGTTAAATGTACACGTGTAGGTAGCTTGTTGAACCGTTAGATGAAAAAGTTTGCCAATGGGTTCTACTGTCTTGCTCAGGCTAATCAGATCACAGCACCAAAGGAACAATCGTCGACAATGGGCATTTGACAAACGAATAAGCCACAACTTCTCTAGTATTGCATACTAGGGAAGTTGTGGTCCCAGTGTTGTGACGAATTGGGTCAGGTATACACGTCCAGCAATCCACGGCACAGTCAACTAAAGGAACCAAGAACATCGGATGAATATTGTGGGTTCCATTGTCCGTTTACGCTCTGCCTCAGAAACTATTCTCACACGGAAAACTATTGTGAGCGTGACAGCACATTCAGTGAATTTGTAAGACCGAAAGTATAAACGTGAACCGTGACCTTCATGGAGTAAGCATTTAAAATTACCATCATGACGATGTTTCCGTCACTAGCCATCTTCAAAAGACAGCATAGGCCTACTATAAAGTTCGATCAGAAATTGCCTCGTTCAATGCCGTTCAGGATGATCAAAAAGAACACGCAACCATGGTGAACGGTCACTGACTCACTCCAACCGAGGGCATACTCCCAGAAACCAGTCCGGCCTTGAGAAGCAGTTATGATGACGGGAAAAGTGCTGTCAAAGGAATGATAAACAGAGAGAGAGAGAGAGGTAAAGGAGGTCCATTAGGTAGCCTCATTCAGTCCCACTTTCATTGATGGAATCGTCAATGTAAGGCAGAAGGAATACTATTTGATAGCGAGCAACGATGAACAACAAAAAAAGTCAAATTTGAAGATAGTATCAGGTAAAATGCTTATTGTTTCAGCTAACCGACATTGCCTAAGTATCGAAAAGCAGTTCCTTGACTGGCCGTTTCACCCTTCAGGATAACTGTCTAATTATTTATCTTCAATCCAAGGATATCAAAATACAAGCATGAATAAATGATGAAGTGAGAACAAGAAGAAGCATCATGATCACAGGATGTGTCGAATTCAACTATTTTGTGGTACTCTCATCAGCTGTGTACATACATTCGGATCACGTTTGGTTAAAAGAATGATAGGTTTGGGGACAGGCGAACACACACGGGGAAGAGAAATCAGTCAATACGAAGGCCAAAGGTCACTAATATGAACCGGATTGAGCATAGGGGCAGAAAGCGGAATCACTGCGGGGGTGGACGGAGGGGAGAGGGAGGAGGACAGTGACACCTAACAGGGCAGTGCGAAGTTAGCCACCAATTCGGTCTGTTTACGCAAATCGGGCTTGTACCGTCGAATGGCAGCCGCTTCAGCGAACCGGAGCAGACGGCTACCTGTGGCGGATCAAAACACGAAAGGCGTCCCTAGGTTTGTCGCATTCTTTGCAATCCAGTTTATGTCGGGCGATTGAACTGGACGGAAGCTCGGACCCGTTAGACGCCTAATGTTTCGGTACATGCTCCGCTATCCTGGAAGACAATCGTCTCTCAGTTCTTCCGACGTACTTGCTACCGCAAGCATATTAAAATAGGTAAACACAGGAGGAGGTAACTGAAGAGTCGGGTTTGTCTAGATTGGATTCAGTGCACATTCGCTTTGTGTCAGGGAGGCAGCGTTATACGTTCTTTCAATCGCTTGTTTCAACCTGCGCTGTATTCGTCTATCAATTTGGTCATCTTGAAATGGTATGGTGACAAAAACAGCTTTTTTAGGCGGTCACTTTGTTCTAGTTTATTCAACGGTGCTCCACACTTTGAAATAAACGTTTTAGGGTATCCATTTTCGTGCAGCGATCATGGAACTCTAACGTTTTACTGGAGCAGATTATCCTGACCCTAGAGAATAAACTGTGCACCAACGACACCGACAGTCTATCTTTATTCTGTTTCTTTAATGGCCAAGTTTCTGCACCATATAGCAGAACTGGTCGCACTGCTACAGCATACAATCGACCCTTCACAGACAACCCGATGTCGCGACGGCGCCACAAATGTCTCAAGTTGCCAAATGCCAGTGGAGCCTTCTGTATGCTAGCTGACACTTCATCCGTGATGCGCCCACCGGATGAGATGTAGCTACCCACATAACAGAACTTATCCACTTGCTCTATTACCTCCCAAGTTAGAGTCTGAGTGCTGGACCAACCCAGTCTTGTAGTAACATTTTACACTTTGAAGGTGCAAAACGCATACCGAACATGGCTACACTGGCATTCAAGTTATCCAGAAAAGCTTGCAACTTACCTGGATCTTCAATTAG